GAAGGTGGTGGAAGGAGGTTGGGAAAAATTATCTATTGTGGTCTGAAAAGTTCAGAAAAAGAGCATTAAGTAGTTACCTCAAAAGACAAATATAATATGATTTCACTTATATGTGAAATCTAAAAAACAATCAAAACAGAAACAGACTCATAAATACAGAAACAAACTGATGGTTGCCATTTGGCAGTTATAAAATAGTCACTGGGATATAAATACAGCATAGAGAATATAGTCGATAATATTGTAATAGCTGTGTATGGTGCCAGGTGCGTACTAGACTTATTGGGGGATCACTTTACAAATTATATAAATGTCTAACCACTGTGCTGTACACCTAAAACTAATATAATATTGAATGTCAACTATTAACTGAATAATAATAAAATAGACTACAAAAGAAAAATTACCTCAGGTAAGTTGGAGGAAAGACTAGGGAGAAAAGGCCTCATTAAATAAAAAAGACAGAAAGAAAAAAACAGGTTACCAAGAAAAAGAAAACCTGTTTCCTCTTTACCTTGAAGACTTTCAGCACACAGGTAATGAGCTTTAAAAAACTAGAGTTATGTACCTTTACCCAAAGAACAATACTATAACCACTTTCTCTAAATTTAACCTATAAATTCATTATTTGGTTTGAATTTTCTCAATGCTGTGGTCATTATTCCCTTTTATTTCTTGTTACTCTTTAGCTAGAAAAAGCAACTTTCCCTCCTTTCTTTTACACATAACTTGTTAGTCCTAAACGTTTTTATATGTCATTCCTCTTGATTGGAGTGCCCTTCCATCTACCCTGACAAACTATACCACTTTCTTTTTGTCTTATATTTTTACGATACTTTGTCCATAAATATGTTTCAGACCTTCATTGAATTAACGTAAAAACAATGCATTACAAAGCCTATTCTGTAACGAAACTCTTCAAAGCAATGTGTCCTTTCATTACAAGCACCGAGTTTGTGAATTTTACAACCTATTTTGTTCCAACTAATTTACACCCAATTTTTCACGTCTTCTTGATTCACTCCCCTTTTTTATACCTATTAAAGTGTAAGTTGTTTTCATTAACTTTAACCACTAACTTGGGAAACTGCCAACTCTTCATATTATGCCTATTACCTGGAAATATGTAAAAATCATTATTATTGCTTATTACCCAACACCCAGTAGAGAAACTGGCACAGAGTAGGTGCTCGTAAATACTTGGTGTCTGAATAAAGTGAAATATTTGGTATCTAAAGGAGTTAACGTGACATTTATAAAAGCAATACTGATCTGTGGAACAAGAAAACCACATTTTGAATTACTACCAGCTAATTAATTATGCCAGTCCTTTTTTGTTACAATACGGAGATACACGAATTGAGGACTTAAATTTTTAATTCTGGAAGGTTCAACATTTTGTCTTAAAGAACCTAAATATTGACCATAAGCATCCAAATCTCTTTCTAGTACTCAAATCAAAAAGTTTACCTGCCATCTCCAACTTTTGGTCTGAAACAGTCCTTGGCCAGAAGCCAGGGACTGCTTTTTGCTCACCTAATTGGAGTCCAACTTCGGCCCTTTTCACTCAGCCATCACTTGCAACACGTCCCTCTCACCTCTCCCCGACTTCCCCTCCCCACTCTCCCTCTCACGCCAAACCACACTCGAAACAGGAAACCACAATTCCGCCAGCTCCCGTGGCGACTCGGCAACGCTAAAAGTTGAGGCCACAAGACGCATTTGTAACCACGCGGTTTTCCTCTCTAACCATATGAGGTTTTGTCCAGACAAGACTTTGCTCTCGCAAATCGCTCCAGTCGCCTGGGACTCTGAATCGCAGCCCTCCGCCAGCACTGCGCCGGAAGCCTGGCAAACCCGCCTGCTTCTCCAAACTTCTGAGGACTTCCCAAGCTCATTCCCTCTCCCAGAGACCCCGCCCCGCCCCCCTCCCCGCGGAGGGGCACGCGCATGCCCGGTGCGCGCGTTCTGCCTCGGCCCCCGTCCCGCCTCTGTTCCCCGTGGGCCCTCGCGCGCGGCCTGCGCCGGCTCGCCCCGCCGCCTCGCCCCTCCCGGTCGTTTGCGGGCGCGCGCACCTCCTTGCTCGGGGGAGCCGCGGGACGCGCCTAGCGAGCGGCGATTGGCTGACGCGGTGGCTGCGCGTTGGGCCTGAGAAACTCTGGGCGAACGGGCTGAGTCGGCTCCAGGGCGGTTCCCCGCGCATCCTAGGTAAAAGAGTGGGCTGGGAGGTTTGGGCGCTCGGGACCGGAAGGGTAGGCATAGACCAGCCCTAGAACTTCTGGCCGCAGCCTTCTTGGGGAAGGCGAAGGGGTCGCGCGGAATCTGCACCCAGTAAATGTTGGCCCGTGCGGCCGGGAGTGATGGGGCTCTGATGGAAGGTCAGCGTCGTGGGGGTCTACAGGTCCTCTTTCTGGGTATGATTTCAGCATCTTTCCCTGTTTCCTATGTTTTCTACCGCAATGTTAAGCATTTATTCAAGGGTGTAGGTTTTTATTTTTTCCCTTAGGCGGTGAGTTAGAGGGTACGGGTCCTGGTTCAACCTTTGATTGATTCTGTGCCCTTGAGAGTATTTAATTGTTCTGTATTTCAGGTCTCACTTTTATAAGTTTCGGTAAAGAATGCAGTACTTTTTTTTAGGCACACTGAACCATGCTGTAGAAATATACTGTTAGAATATGTTTGGTTTACAATGTCTCCGGACCCAAATTTCTTTAACTGGAAGGTGACACCACCCAACAGTATTTGCGAAGTACTTTAAGCTCCATGGATGGAAGGAACTGGATAAACACAACATAGCATTATTAGGCAGGATGGTAGGAAGAAAAACTTTCCACAAGAACAGGCTTTTTGAAAAACTCTTTTGGACATTTTATGTAGATTAAATCACAGTGGTTAGACAAAGGTAAGCCAAAAACAACGGGCCAAACAAAACTACGTTTCAAGGAAGTTTATTTTTTTTGTCCTTCCCTAGATAGTTTTAACATACTATCACAAGGTGTTGGCTTTTCAAAGTTTCTCTTAGGGATCTAGTGTGGAACTAAGTTAAAATGACAGTTACATATTCATTTGGGTATCCTATGCAATAGTATACCAGGAAAATTAATTAAAGCTGACTTCTATATTAGGTAAGAGGAATTAAGATATCTCACTGGTGAGAGGTAATAATGGGAAATCAGAAAAATGGACGGGAGATATACACAATTTTCCCTCAGAGGAATAGTTTCTAGAAATCTTTTTAGTGCGTTAATTGTTAAAGGATAATAGACCTACAGAAAGTGCATGAATCATAAGTTTACAGTTCATTGAATTTTCACGAAGTGTATCTAGTACCTAGATCAAGAAAGCATTACTTGCATCCCAGACGCCCCACTTTGTGCCCCCTTCCCAAAGGTAACCATTTTCTCTATTTTTAACATCTATGAATCTGCCTATTAATTTTATGTAAATAGAATCATACAGTATATAGTCCTTTGTGTCTCACTTTTGTTTAGTATCGTACTTGTGAGATTTATACAAGTTATATAGAAGTAGTTTGTTCTTAGGCTGTATAGTATTCCATTTAGTTTTTGGCTATTACCAATAGGGTTTCTAGGAATATTTTTATAAGTATTTTGGTGAATGTACGTATACATATCTGTTGGATATATACCTACTAGCGAAATGGCTTTATTATAGAGTATGCAGATATGTATTTCTGATATAACTACCAAATAGTTTTTCAGATTAGTTATGTCAATTAACACTCCTTTTAGCAGTGTTTTAGAATTCTGGCTCCTCCAAATGTTTACAACACTTATTATTATCTTTTATTTTAGCCATTTTGGTGGGTATATAGTGATATCACATTGGGATTTTTCCCTGATTTCTTAATTACTAATAATATTTAACACTTCTTCATATATTCATTGGCATTTGGATATCCTCTATTGCAGGAGTCATCAAATTTTATGTAAAGGGACAGATAGTAAATATAGGCAGTCCTGGCTTTGTAGGGTTTCAATTAAAGCAGTACTGTGTGAAGCTAGGACTGCCTGTATTTTAGGATTTGCAACCACTATACAGTCTCGGTTGTATTTCTTTCCTATCCTTCTTTCCTTCCCACCTTCCCTTTATTCTTCTTTCTTTTTCTTTCTCTCCCTCCGTCCTCCCTCCCTCCTTTCTTTCCTTCCTTCTGTCCTTCCTTTTTTGCCTGCCGGCTTATCGCCTGCCTTCCCATCCTCCCTTTTCCCTCTCTGCTTTCCTTCTTGTTTCATAGTTTGCTAGCCCCTGGTATGTGGGAAAATGTTTAGTCTTTTCATTGATGGTGGTGAAATTATTAACTGAGATGAACTATATTGGAAACATATAAATACATTTGTACGTTTTAATAATAGTATTAAATAATGTGTGCTGTAGTATTTGGGGATTAAATTTCAAATCCCTAAACATACTTTCTTTGGTTTTTACCAGTTTTACCTCAAGACTAATTAGAGACCTGTTTGATACTTCTCTAAACTATAATTGCTCCTGCTTTTCCCATTCCTTTAAAGTTGAGGAACAAAAGAGAGATAAGAAGTGAGAAAAGAAGATACAACCTTTCTTTGATATTGTATTAAAGGCTAGGGAAGGGATGAATATCCAGACAGTTCTGGACGCTGAGTAAAAAAGGATAAAAAAGGATCAAATACTGTTTGCAACACTTTGCCACGGATATTGTTTTTTGATCTATGTCATCTTGGGCTAGTTTGATTAAAATGTATATCTACCTGATTGAGTATACGCATGATATGGGAAGTAATAGTCAATGGCTTGGAACATGAATCTCAACTGTAGCAACCCTGCCCAGGATGGAAGTTCTCTCTTCTTTAAATGCCCCATTGGGCTGTCCAAATTCATCTTCTCTTACTTTGGGCTCCCTGCCTTTCACTAAGTATCGAAAGTATCAAACTTTTAAAAGTATCAAAAACTTTCTTTCAATACTATTTCAGTCTATGTTAACATTTTTTATAACACTTTTTTTAAGTGGTTTATAGAAGGAATTTGGGTATATATTTAGATATATGCTTATACTGACAGGCTTTTGGGTAATCTCCATCAATGTAATCTTTTCTCTGATATGAATAATTGACTTTTTCCATCTTACTCTATTATTACTGCAAACACAGTTTTAAAATACACCACCAGTCCTCAACTTCCACCATCCAACAACCTACAGCTATCCATGAGCCTTTTGTATATAGAAATTCTAGGTCTAGTTATGCATTTATAGACATATGTATATACACACATATACACATATAATTTGCTAGTATAAATATGTTGCTGTTTTATAATTGCCACATAAAACAATTGTACTTATATACAATGTTTTCACTGCACTCTTGAACCTGAGTTGGAGTTATTACAAATTATTATGGCTGGTAAAGAGCGTGTGCTGTGGAGGGGGCTCACTGACAAGTGAGTCCCCCATCCCTGGCCTCATATAGGAACAAATAGGATTTTTATGTTTAATGGTGTTAGACCTTGACCGATGCTTCTGTATAAATAAGGACATATCTGTCAGTCCAGTGTTATCATGAGCTTCTGAGAAGACCTACCCCTCTAGACATCGCCTGCATTATATTGCCATTGCTACTTCTAGGACTTCATCTTCCAGAATTCCGCTGAGGATAACCCTTGCCTTTTCTGGTTGTAGTTTCTATTTTAAGATACTTCATTTAGGTTACATTTAATTTTATTTACTTTGTTTAAGGCGATTCTTTTTCTCTGCTATGATCTATTATCTGTTGCATTTATACTTAAATAATTTGTACAGTAAATAATTTTGTTCCTATAATGTCCAAGTGCCTGGGCCTGGGGATGGGCAGGGAGGGAGGATAGCTCACTTTCATCTGGCATGCCACCTACAAAGATAGCTTTTGAGTTGATGAGAGAAAAAGTACAGCATTAGTGAATTGGTGCTCATTAGTACTATTATTATTCTCTCTTCCTTTTGAATTTAATGGATTTTGAGACTAAAGGGCTGTTTTAGGGCATTAATTGAAAAAGCAGTGCACTGTGGTGCAAAGAGCACTAGGCCTAAGAGCAGAGTGAGTGTAGCTTATTACTTGTCTTTGTTAACACTTCCTGGAACTTGGCACTCTTTTGTAAAATGAGGTAATTTGACCAAGTATCTCTCATCCTTGGAAATCCTTTCCAAAAGACATGATAGAGAAGCACGGAATTTAGAACTTAGAATTTTAATGACTCCAGAGATCATTTAGGTTACCCTCTCATTATTTTTCAGTGAAAACACTAAGGCCTTGAGAGATTGTATTTAGTCACATTGTTACTAGATCCCAGTTTTCCTGTTATTCCAGTCACTTTTTCCACTGTGCTACTTGTGATAGGCAACCTTCTAAGATAACCCTGCTATTCACACTTTTGTGTAATCCTTTCCCCTGAGGGTAGACTGGATCTAGAAGCTCACTCCTAATAGAATATGGCAAAGTGGTCAGATGTCACTTACGAGATTAGGTTACAAAGGACTATAACTTACTTTTCACTGATACTCTCTCTTGCTTGCCCACTTTGATGAAGCCAGCTTGTTGCCATGTTTTGAGTTGACCTATTTAAAGACTCACCTGTCCAGGAATTGAGGTGAGGTTTTGGCCAAAAGCCTGTGAAGAACTGAGGTTCTCAGTTCAGTAACCCCCTAGGAACTGAATCCTGCTAACAACCACTAAGTGAAGTTGGAAGAACTTGTCCCAGTTAAACCTTGAAATGACTGTATCCCTGGTTGACACTTTAGAGACCCTGAACTGGAGGATTTGGCTAAGCAACACCCAATTCCTCAAACTGTGAGATAACAAATGTGTGTTGTAAGCTGCTGAGTTTTGGGGTAATTTGTTAGGCAGCAATAGATGACTAATGAACTGCTCTTACTGATTTTAGAAAAATTTTAATAAGAAATAGTTCATGCTGAAGTTTTTATGAACATAGCTACAATCTGTTTTTATCATCTTAAATATATCTGAGGATGTTCTTTTTACTTTGGGAAAAGTAAAATAGTAACCATTTAACTATAAATTATGTTTTCTTTGGTTATAACTTAATGGCCAGGTATTTGTTTTATCTCAAAATAGGCAATATAAAGAGATGGCTACTTCGAAGGTTGGTTTGGTTTGGGGATTTCATTAAAGTAGATGACCAATGGGACTAATTTGCATAGAGTTGTTTTGGCAATTGGC